GTAGTATCCTCTAGCTAAGGCCATATGAATATGAGAGAATATGAACATATATGCTATTGACTTGCGTGTTGTGAGCATATCTATCTGTATCTGTGTAATTCACAAAAAACAAATACTTATAAAATTTGTTTTTGAATTGCTGAAGATTCAAAAAAATTTATTGTCTTACATGGTTTAAGATAGCATATTATTTTCTAAAAAAGGACATTGTGTCTTTGTGCAATTTCTAAGAAAACCCGTTCGATTAATGTTTAACATCTTTTTATGATAATTTTAGTTGATTGATGTAACACCCCGGACTAGGGCTTAATAGGATTATTAGGATACTCATACCAATAAGTTGTAACTTTTTTTCCGGAAGCCCATCTACAAAGAACTCCGAGGTTAAGCGTGCTTGGCTTGGAGCGATGGGTGACCGACCGGGAAGTTCTTCCCGGGTGCGCACGAGTGAGGACAAAGTGCGCAGAAAAGACAAGTGTTGGTCTGTGAGGGCAGCCTATATTCTAGTTAAGCTGTCAGATGTAAGCGGACCCGGCCTCGGAGAGGTGGGACGTTACAGAATGGTATCGGAGTTGACTCTTGCGATTTTACAGGCACGTGTGTCGTAGTTGCGCAGGCATAGTGCGCATGGCTGGTGTGGATCCGGCGTGGTCACAAAGCATGGCACATGCACTGGCACTGGACACACGGACGTGGCTAAGAGGGGACGTTCCTGGATTGGGATTGATCGACGAGGACGTCGATCTCTTAAGGGGGTGAGGATGTAACACCCCGGCGTAGGGCTTAATTGGATTATTAGGATACTCATACCAACAAGTTGCAACTTCTTTTCTGGAAGCCCATCTGCAAAGAACTCCGAGGTTAAGCGTGCTTGGCCTGGAGCGATGGGTGACCGACCAGAAAGTTCTTCCTGGGTGCGCACGAGTGAGGACAAAGTGCGCAGAAAAGACAAGTGTTGGTCTGTGAGGGCAGTCTATATCCTAGTTAAGCTACCAGATGTAAGCGGACCCAGCCTCGGAGAGGTGGGACGTTATAGAATGGTATCGGAGCCGACTCTCGCGGTTTCACGGGCGCGTGTGTCGTAGTTGCGCAGGCATGGTGCGCATGGCTGGTGTGGATCCGGCGTGGTCACAAAGCATGGCACATGCGCTGGCACTGGACACACAGACGTGACTAAGAGGGGACGTTCCTGGCTTGGGATTGATCGACGAGGACGTCGATCTCTTAAGGGGGTGAGGATGTAACACCCCGGCCTAAGGCTTAATAGGATTATTAGGATACTCATACCAAGAAGTTGCAACTTCTGTTCCGGAAGCCCATCTGCAAAGAACTCCGAGGTTAAGCGTGCTTAGCCTGGAGCGATGAGTGACTGACCGGGAAGTTCTTCCTGGGTGCGCACGAGTGAGGACAAAATGCGCAGAAAAGACAACCCGGCCTCGGAGAGGTGGGACGTTACGCACCACCCCTAGATTATAGTTAGAGGTAGGGTGCTATTTTATATAGCAGCAAAGCAAAACAAACATGTCTTGATTTCTTATGTACTCCTCTTTTGCATAATAAGTCTTCATCTTAGATTTTGATGAGTAAACTAATTTTAACTTTGACTATAGTTAAAGAAAATAGAATCAACATTTTTATCTTCAAATAGGTATTTATGAAAATATATAGCATGGTTAATCTAATGATGTTTATCTGGCATACCAAATATTAGCATTTTTTATATATTTGACCAAAGTTGAGATTATTTTACTCCTCGAAATGTGAGATAGATACTTATCTCGGGATAGAGAGAGTACCATATTTTCACCTATTCTGTACACACGAGTTTATTAGAGAACAAAATATTTCGGGAGTGTTCGGCAGCCTGGTTGAATAAGCCAAAATACTGTTTCAGCTGGGTTGTTGTGAGAGAAAAACACTGTTCTGACTGAAAGACACTTCATTTATGTGAAGGTTCACAGTGAGGGTCAAGTCAATTTGGCCCGACCAACGAATCAACCACCAAATTTAACACGCCTTCGACATCTTTTGATAATATATAGTGTTTCCACAAGTTTCTGAGTTTATGGCCGATTTGATGATAACGACTTAGTAACTGTAACCCTATTAAACTATCATGGATTTTAGGGGGTGTATGATAGAGCGTCCTTCTATGTTGAATCAAGAGAAGCCCTTCCAAACAATTTTTTATGAAAAAATAATTCTTTGTTAATTTTGTTAAGTTACTCTTCGAAATGAACTAAAATTCTACCACTAGAATATATAATAAGTTACTTAAGCAACAATATTTTTAGATTATAATAATGGAAAAGTCATGTGGCACAGGAAAGAATCAGGATTCTAGCGTGGAGCGAAAGCATGATAAACCTACGACGTAAAGTAAATAGTTGCCTAAGAAAGTGTGACGTCAAAGTTGAAAGCTCGATTCTCTGTTATCATCTACCAGACATATACCCATAATGCTTTGGAGAGTTTCTCAAACTATATGGCAACAAAAAAGGGGTTATGGCCGTGGAGCACAGCCGAAGACTGCTTGTGTGTGCGCGTAGCAATTTATGGCGCTTTTCTGACACCCTCACATCTTATCCGGAAGCGGTGGATAGGGACACATGCGCCCGCCCGGGTCGCACCCCCGACCCGCGCCACCGGTCCGACCTGACCGTCGACCGCCGACCGGCTGACCCTCGTTATTAGCCGGTTCACCACCTCCCACTTCACCTGCCTGCCTGCAGCCTGTTTTCCTTTCCTCCCCTTTCTCTGGGAGATTTAACTTTTTATCATTATAACAATTGGCATCTTCTCGGATAGCACTTTAACGGATGTCAATACATTTTCGTCAGCACAGAGAGAAAAGTCATACGAAAATACCATATTTACTCACGTGGCACGTCAGCTCCTCATGCTAGCGTGGATCTGAGTTAGCAGGGCGTGTGAAATGTCCCTCCTACCCCCGCCCTCTCCTTCTCCACCCTCTCCCGCAAGCCGCCGTGAGCTCCCACTTGTAGTAGGCCCTGCTCTGCTTCCAGCAGGATTCGTCGTGCCCTGCTCTCCCTCACCCTATGTCGCGTTGCCGTGATTCATCAATCAAGCTACATGCCATCCTCCGGTGAACCATCGTGACTGTGGACCAAAGAAGCAGAAGAGATGCAGCTGTCCAAACCAAAAATAGCAAGCAACAGAGCAGAAGGTGTTGCCGTAAATCAACATGCTATCGGCGGACACGGCCTGGCCGCCCACGGTCGCTAGCCCGCGCACGGCGCACGCGTCAACGGCCGCAGACACGCGCAGCAGCCGCCACGCCACCACGGCGACACCCGTCCACGCACAGCTCCATGGCCAACTCCGTCACCCTCCTAATGTCGACCACGGGCGAGGGCGAGGGTGAGGACGGTGGCGCGTCGAGCTCCAGCTCGAAGGCCTCATGCGCAGCGTCGGCTTCCCCGACCAACGCGCGGTTCTGGCCTAGCAGGCATGCGTGTAGCCGCTCCAGCATCGCCACGCCGATCGCCTCACACGGAATCCAAAGAACGACGCTCGCATGCGCTGCGCGCGCGGAGAGCTCCTCGTCGTTCGTCGCCTTCGTCGTCCGCACCCGTTGTTAGCGTCGATTCGCCATTGGACCTCGATGGCCTTGTCGCGGCGAAATTCTTTATCGAGGTCATTGACGGCAACCACGCAAACTACCGGGTCGGTTTCTCGCTCGAGACGCACACGTTGAGCACCGCGACCGACGGCGCCGTCCAGGGCATGGACCTGCTCGGGTACGCTGCTCGTACAAAGGTGTGTTGGGTCAGCGGGTGCTTTAGCTCCGACATCCTCAAGGCCACGGAGATGAGCGCGGATTCGTCGGGCGGGCTGTGTTGGGGTGTGGATGAAGGGAGGGGTAGCAGTGACATTTCACGCGCATTGCTGACTCAGATCCATGCTGGCGTGACGCGAGTAAAAGTGTTGTTTTCGTATAACTTTTCTCTTCGTGTTGGCGAAAATGTATTGGCAATCGTTAAAGTGCTATCTGAGTAGGTGCTCATCGTTATAAGTCATTTTTGGTAGGACTTATTACTGCTACAGCTAATTTATATGACTAATTTGTTGGTAGAGAAAAACATTATTATGTATATGGAAAAGTATGATCGATTCTGAGCGATAAGCTGAAGCGAACCTCTCCATAATGGTAAAAAGGTTAAATCTCCCCTCTCCTGAGAGAGAGAGAGAGAAGCATCTTCTCACTCTAGTCTCTCGCCCCCTCCCCTTCCCCCCTGCTCCCTCGACCTCCTCCAGCTCCTGCCGCAACCTGCCCCTCCCCTGTCCGCCCCTCTTGCCCGCCGCCGGCCACTTCAGGGCTACCCCCGCCGCGGGTCCGTCCTTCTCCTCCTGGCGCTTCCCGCTGGGCGGTCGCCTGAGATTTACCCCCGCTCCGTTCCCCTTTTCGGGGGACGCCTTGAGAGGCGGGGCGGGTCCTTGGTCCGGGAGGCGCGGCAACGGCGACGGCGAGTGATTTTCGGTCTCCAAGGGGAGAGTTTTTTTTTTTCACCGGGGTTTGGTGGGGGAAGGAAGGAGGCGGCCGCGAGTAAGCGAGACGTTCATGGGTTTGATCTGGCGGTCCGGCGGCGCGGATCTGAGCGAGGTAGGCTGTTGCATTATTTTCCCCCGCTCCGGCGCCTGTTTCCATTTGCTTTCGGTGGCCTGTAGGTGGCAGGAGCTGAAGTTTACCTAATCTGAACGGCATTGCTTTCCGCTGTTTGACTGTCATTACTTCCTTTTCGGTGTCTGATCAAGAAATTTAGCACGAGGTGATGTGCTCAGAGGGCGTCTAGTTGTTGCTGGTATCTTGTCGACTTGCCCTGTGTTGAATAACCCGGAGGAAGCTGGAAGGGAGCGGATCACATTTACTGCTCTGCTCATGTTGACTTCTTGGTCTCTCTTGGATATCCTAGAGGCTGGAAGGGGTCAGATCCAGTTCCTGCGGCCCTAGTAATAAGGTGCTCTTGGGGGAAGGCGCCATGACCTACTTCCCTGAGGAGGTGGTGGAGCACATTTTCAGCTTCTTGCCATCGCACAGCGACCGGAACACGGTCTCCCTCGTGTGCAAGGTGTGGTACGAGGTCGAGAGGCTGAGCCGACGAGCTGTGTTCGTGGGGAACTGCTACGCCGTGCGCCCCGAGCGTGTGGTGCTGCGGTTCCCCAATGTGAAGGCGCTCACGGTGAAGGGGAAGCCTCACTTTGCGGACTTCAACCTTGTGCCGCCTGACTGGGGTGGTTACGCGGGGCCATGGATCGAAGCGGCAGCGAGGAGCTGTGTGGGTCTTGAGGAGCTGCGCATGAAGCGGATGGTTGTGTCTGATGAGAACCTTGAGCTGCTAGCTCGGTCATTCCCAAGATTCAAAGTCCTCGTACTTATCAGCTGCGAGGGGTTTAGCACTGATGGTCTAGCCGCTATTGCGAGTCACTGCAAGTGAGTTTTCCATTCCAGTTCGTCAAATGCTAGTACCTCATTTGAGTTTTCTATATGCCTCTTTTGTTAAGTGCATCATTTTTTTTCCTTTCCTGATCTGGCATTGTAATCTTTAAGGACTTGTTGATGTCACTATTTAGTCCTTAAGCAGCTATTGCAAGTCATTGTAAATGACTATGCCTTGAAAATTTCAGTTAAGAGCATCAAATTTTTCACTTTTTTTTTGAAAAAAATTAATCAAATTTTATTTCCTTAGCAGTGTTGTATGCAATTACCTTTTGATATGTCATTATTTAGTCATTAAGCAGCTATTGCAAATGACTATGCCTTGAAAATTTCGGTTCCTTAAGAGCATCACATTTATTTACTTAGCAGTGTTGTATGCAATTACCTTTTGATATCGTGGTCCAGAACAGCACACTTTTGCGCTTTCTCTTATTTCCTCTGATGCTTATCACTTAGGTGCCATTGCTTGTTAGTTTTTTTTAGCTTATCTTCCAATTGTTTTTTAATTCATTTTACAACTGTTCAAGTCTTGCATTGTTCTGCTCATGTTCCCTTAATGAGCTGAACTGTTCAAGTGGTGTTTGATTGTTCTGTTCTTGCATTTGCTCTTTATATATTTTAGCACTGTTTTTTCTGTATGACTTCTATGATATTTATTCGGTGTGATGAATCCATGCAGTTTTGACCATATTGCATATAGTTAACTAGTTGTGTTGTGGTTGTACTGCGTATGACTGTTTTCTAGGTCTAGATGCAAATTCTCTTGCAGTTGTTCAACAAATTATTATCATTAGTACTATCAGTATTGAGTAGTAGTTGAATGTTTTTAACTGAATGCATCAATTTTTTCTTGTTACATGGTATTTTATGGTTAATGTGTTAACTTTGTTCTCTTCCTTTTATCTGTTATCTAGGCTCCTGAGGGAGTTGGATTTGCAGGAAAATGACGTGGAGGACCGTGGGCCCAGATGGCTTTCCTTCTTCCCTGATTCCTGCACTTCGCTGGTCTCCTTGAATTTCGCCTGCATCAAAGGGGAGGTGAACTCTGGTGCATTGGAGAGACTTGTCGCTAGGTCTCCGAACCTACGCAGTTTGAGGTTGAATCGTTCTGTTTCAGTAGACACACTCTCGAAGATACTAGTGCGAACCCCAAATTTGGAAGACTTGGGGACAGGTAATTTGACAGATGAGTTCCAAGCTGAGTCCTATGCCAGGCTTACCAGTGCTTTGGAGAAATGCAAAATGTTGAGGAGTTTGTCTGGATTTTGGGATGCTTCTCCTATTTGTGTTCCATATATATATCCCCTCTGTCATCAACTAACAGGCCTAAACTTGAGCTATACTCCTACACTGGATTATTCTGATCTGACTAAAATGGTCAGCCGCTGTGTGAAACTCCAGCGTCTTTGGGTGAGTTCTCCTCTCTTTGCTTTGGGCTTGTCATTTTTGTACATTGAAAGAAAACCATGTAATGATTTTGAGCCTCCACAGGTACTGGACTGCATTTCGGATAAGGGTTTGCAAGTGGTGGCCTCCAGTTGCAAGGATCTACAAGAACTTAGGGTGTTTCCATCAGATTTTTATGTTGCTGGTGCTTCTGCGGTGACAGAGGAGGGACTTGTTGCAATATCATCAGGCTGCCCAAAACTAAGCTCTTTGCTGTATTTCTGTCACCAGATGACCAATGAAGCACTAATTACTGTAGCTAAGAACTGCCCAAATTTCATCAGATTTAGACTCTGTATCCTTGAGCCAAAGAAGCCAGATGCCATGACAGGCCAGCCGTTAGATGAAGGCTTTGGTGCAATTGTCCGTGAGTGCAAAGGGCTAAGACGACTGTCAATGTCAGGTCTTCTCACAGACAAGGTTTTCATGTATATTGGAAAGTATGCAAAATACCTTGAGATGCTTTCTATAGCATTTGCTGGAGATAGTGATAAGGGGATGATGGACGTGATGAACGGATGTAAGAATCTGAGGAAGCTTGAGATTAGAGACAGCCCATTTGGTGATGTTGCACTCTTGGGAAATGTTGCCAAGTATGAGACAATGCGATCCCTTTGGATGTCATCATGCAATGTCACATTAAAGGGGTGCCAAGTCCTTGCATCGAAGATGCCGATGCTCAACGTGGAGATCATGAATGAACTAGATGGAAGTAGTGAAATGGAGGAGAACCATGCAGACCTCTCTAAAGTGGATAAGTTATATGTTAGTGAAATGGAGGAGAACCACACAGACCTCTCTAAAGTGGATAAGTTATATGTTTACCGCACAACTGCTGGAGCGAGGGATGATGCACCAAATTTTGTTAAAATCCTATAGAGCTTGCTGCGACTACCCTGGTATCTTCCCACCCTAAGAGGTGATACTTCTCATATATCCATCTTCTTTCATCTGGAAATATCGTATGCCTGCTTATCATGTGTTTGCTCTTCTGCTAGTCCATTGCTATTTGAACTTAATTTTTTTGTTTTGCACTTAGTAACTCTGTTGAATATTGCATCTTTCTAATACATGCTCCAGAACATGTGAACTAGTATCTCTAGGCTCTTGTTGCAGCATAAATGTTCCATTCAGAAGCAACAGCTGTACACCCATTAAGATCAGATGTGATTATAGACAATATCTTAAATACTGCATGAAGAAGCTTCTGCTTTGTGTTTTATAATAAACCAAGCCTCTTTGCCGAAAATATGAAACTGGATAGTACTAGAATTTTAACTGGATAGTACTTGAAGCTGATGTTTGAACCACCTTTCTGCTGCCAAATCTGTAGCTTTCCTTTTTGTTTGTTCCTCAGTACATTGATTGTGGCTACTCATAGTGCTAATTTCTGTCAACGTGTATATCATTCAGATTCCAGTACCAATAGGGAGCAGCACAACCTGATATGTCTAACCCTGTTTTCCCACTCCTACTCGATTGCTTTTACAGATGGTCGGTGGAATCCGGCATGCCTGGGACCAGAGCAACAGTGGTAAGTTCTTGAATCGTCTCCCCTTTGCAGGGTCAGGAAAAGCCACACTGGTGTGTGCCCTTATCTTGGAGCAACATGGCCGGATCCATCATCATCCTGTGTACCACCGCCCCCTCTCTCAGTGTCTGGTCATATGGCCACCCAGGCCCGTTATCACCCTGTGCATTCTCACTCGAGAGGAGAGGACAGAACCAGATGACTTTTTCTCCTTTTTCTCGCCATGTAATCTGTAGTGTACCTGTCTCCATTTGCTTTTGACATTGGCACGGTGGCTTGTGTTGCTGCCGCTGCTGTTGTAGTGTTTTGTTTCGCAAACCTGAGAATTATTATCGGGACATTCCGGGGACGATGATTTGTTTCTTGCTCCTTTGAATGCAGTGCGTGGAATAATTTGAGGTTTATCTGCGAGATGCTATCAGTTTTGTTTCCCAGTGTTCATGAACGCACGCCTGGAGGTGCATTTGATGGCCAGGCAGAATTTGTCGTGTCACACTTTTCGCCCTTGCGCAATATCACATCTCTGCACGTAGATTTGTTAGGACCTAGGAGACGTAACCGACTACCAACCCACGTAGCGGTTCCTTAATCGGAGGAATTGTTGGCTTGGAAGGATTAAGGCCTTTTTGGATGTTGGAGTACGAAGAAATCATAGTGTCAAGAAACTGTATTAAAATTATTGATGTGCAAAATTATGGTTTAGAAAAAAGAGGTCTAGAGTGGAGTTTTTAAAACTCTAAAAAACAAAAACCGTGGTTTGTGGAGTTTTTAAAAATCTAAAAAGACCACAGCTTTAACAATAACATGGTATTCAAAACCATAAAGTTTGTTACACCCAAGCACTTCATTGTACTCTAAAACCAAAGAATTTTATAAAGCCATGGTATTTTTCTAAAACTCCAAAAATACTTTGTATTCAAAGAGGGCCTAAAGGGGTTCAACCTTGGAAGCTGGAGAGGTATATTTTACCCAGGGAAGGGAAGATTGGTTCTGATATTGTTGTCTAGGGTAGAGGTAGGTATAGGTTAGGATTGTTAAGCGTCTAGGTTAAAGGGTAACAACACCAAAATATTCAGTGATCCACCGGATGGTCCGGCAACGGACAGTCCGCGGGTGCATTCTCGAAGGTTGGGAATGAGTGGGTGTTCGCTCGGATGGTCCGACATGTCCTGTCGAACGGTTCATGGTTTCCACGGATGGTTCCAGAGCACCTAGAAACAATTCGGGGGAACGGGGTTGGTTTACATCACCTTTTTGTGATTTCACGGATAGTTCACGATGTGAGGTCTGACGGTTTGCGAGATCCTTTGGGAGAAAAGTGCCTAAGTGTCATAGTCCGTGTAGATTGGAACGGTTCAGCTCTGTCAAACGGTCCGGTGGTTCATGTCGGATGGTTCGCTAGAACGTCGACAGAACCAATGTGAAAAGTTGTTCTTGGTTTTCCTGGGGCTTGCTTCCTAGGGGTTGTGTGTGATGCCTCTTGGCCTCTTGGGGGTGTTAGGGAGTAGGTAGGGGTGCTTAAGAGACATGCTAGGGTTGTGTAGCCTAGAGTTGGATCAACATGTTCGAGATTCTAAAGCTAGGTTTAAGAAATTCCTAAACCATGATTGGGAGAGGAATTCTAGAGAGAGAATGGAGAATAATGGTAGGGGTGCTTAAGAGACATGCTAGGGTTGTGTAGCATAGAGTTGGATCAACATGTTCGAGATTCTAAAGCTAGGTTTAGGAAATTCCTAAACCATGATTGAGAGAGGAATTCTAGAGAGAGAATGGAGAATAATAAATTTACTCTTGATGAGTTGGTGATCTTGGGCTGAAGAGACATGCTAGGGAAAGATGGAGTTGGGGAGAGGGTCCCTTACATCCACATGCACATGGCTTAGAGATAGAGTTGAATTCTTAGACACAAAGAGAGGTGAAATTTGAGCTTCCCCTTGAGATGTGGGTGATGGTCATTGTCTTTGTCTCCTTAACCAAAAGGGGGCACAAGATTAGAGAGGGAATTTGTCCATGAAAAGGGAATCGGGGTCCTTCTTGGCCGTACACATGTGTGTGAGAGAGATGAGGGAAGGTGAGCTTCATTTCCTTCAATCCAAACATGGTCTTAGCTTCAATTTATTCTCCTTTCTTCCTTCTTCCTTTCTTCCACTACACTACAACCTCGGAACAACATCGAGCAGTCCGTCGGTATAAGTCCTTTTAGCGTCAGAGAGAGAGAGAGAGAGAGAGAGAGAGAGAGAGAGAGAGAGAGAGAGAGAGAGAGTGAGAGAGAGAGTGTGAGAGAGAGAGAGAGAGGTGAGAGTGGGAGAGTGAGTGTGAAGAGAGAGAGAGAGAGAGAGAGAGTGGGAGAGTGAGTGTGAAGAGAGAGAGAGAGAGAGAGTTGGTTCCGATGGTTGGAAGGCTCCTTTTCGAGCTGACATGTGGGACCAAAGAAGGGGAGAGAGTGAGACAACTCATTTGCAAACTAAACAATGCCAGCCTTTTTGTTTGTGTTTTGTGTTATATATTTATTCAGCAGTATGAACCAAGCAGGCCCTTATTTGCTTTTTTTCTTATAGAAGATATAGATAGAGAAAATAGTAGTGCACCAAGACATCTACGGATACCATGTCCATGTTGGTATTCGTTCACTACAGAAACCATACTGAAAAAATACAACATTATCATCCACATTTCTCGAACATGAACATATGCAGCCAGACTACAATCTAATACAACATCGATACAACCTTTTGTTTGCGTTTTGCACTTTTCGTACCTCTCAGTCCCCTGACTGCTCAGGCGATCCATCTACTGTGACTGTTCAGGAAACCAGCTAGTAGCACTGCACCCAAATGATCAATTGTGAGAATACTGATAGTATATTTCAGACATATGAGATATAGCAAGTCCCTTGCGTTTGTGTTATACAAATCTATCTACTGTAAGATTTTTTTTTCCGTCGGAGATATCGGCAGCATCACGCCACGGCGAGTAGCTCGTAGCCCGGTGCCGGCCGGACCCGGCGGCGGCACAATGACGGCAAGAGGCCGCGAAGCCTCCCCCAGCTCCCGTGGCGCATGGAGTCGTTGTACGCGGTCACCTCCTTCTCCAGCCACTCCCGTGTTCCGACGTCCGCGGCAAAGGCGTCGAGGGCGCTCAAGAGCACGGCGGTGGCGCGACTGGGGCACCCCAAGCACAGCTCCGCCTTGGCGTACTTGGCGTGCACAGCCGGGTCGCGCGGGCACGCCGCCACGGCGCGCTCCTCGACGCACCGCGCGCTGGCATCGGTCCCGTGTCGTAGCTCGAAGTCGATGTAGTGGCACCAGAAGCCGCCCTCGTCCTGGCTCGGCCGCACTGGCGGAGCTACAGGGTGGACAGGGTGGGCCACGGACCACCTTATAGATTTGGTCCAAAGTGTAGTACTCCTCACTCCCTCACTGTTCGGCCGTGGACTCTGCTACGTGCTTCTGCTGCCGAATCCCGATCAAGCCTCAAAGCGAAGTCCAAGCGTCTTCGCGACCGGCACCTTGGTCTTCTGAGTTCTGTCATACTTGGGGTCTCGACGATCTATATTTGCAGCAGCCACGCAGCCGTCGGCCGGCCGGCTGTCGGCCGGCCAGACGTCGGAGTCAGAGGCAAGGCTAGAAACGCACGACCTGTGTGTTGATCATGATATCATTTCTTCTTTACTCGAACTATGTATACCTTTTTTTAATTATGTTTTGTAATTTATATACTTGTACACCGACATATTAAATTAATAGTGGCTAAAAAAATTTTAGACTACGGACCACCATAGCTGCAAGCTACGCCACTGCTCGGCCACCTCTCCTCCTCCTCGCCGTCGTCGTCCCTGTTCTTGGCGGCGCGGGCGCCGCGGAGGTACCAGATGCGCCAGCCCTCGAAGAGCTCCCGGACGCCGCGGGCGTCGGCGCCGGCCTCCACCTCCATGCTGATCGAGGCGCGGTAGATGGTGGGGTGGTGCACGTTGCTGCAGAAGAGCGCGTCGCCGAGGAGCGCGCGCACCTCCCTCAGGCCGCCGCCGCCGCAGCCGCCGCCCTCGCGGTCGTTCCGGAACGTGTCGAGCGCCAGGTTGCAGCGCCCCACGGCGAGGCTGCGGCCGGGGGTGGTGGCGTTCAGCAGCGCGCGGGCGCGACGCCGCCGCTCGGCCTCGTCGTCGTCGGCGGAGGTCATCTCAGTTCTCGGAGGTGGAGCCGCGGACGCGCGCTCGGTCCCCTCTCGCCGGACCGGGAGCCGAGATGCGGGACGACGTGTGCGTGGATCGCCTTGGCCTTGGCGCGGCGCTCGTGGCGATCAATTTAACGAGGCAATTCGGTTCCGGAGCTGCAGCTGCGGCCTGCCTACGTTGTTTCCGATCGACTTCGCGTGGCGGTGTGAGATTGGCGTCCGTCTCCTAGTGCAACCTGCCGGCTTTACCGGCATTCCGGCAATCTCCGATCGGACATTATTGTTTGACCAGCAACAAATACGATCAAATTGATCAAACTAACTCCCCTTCTGATGATGATACTACTACTACTACCACTACTGTAGATCGATTTGCCCATCCATCCGACTTGGATGATGGTTGCATTGGCAGGAACAGGCCGACGACTGTCCGAGTGACCAGCCTACTGACACTAGACAGTGTGAGTACACGGACGGAGCTCGGGTCGGCAGCAGGCACGTGGGGGCACTGCGCTACCTCACTGGGGCTTCCGGCTCCCCACCCGCCCGTGTCGCGCACCGCATGCACGCGTCCGGTCCGGCGGTGGCAGTGGCAGGCAGCAGTGGCCATGGCCCATGCCATGCCTGCGTGCCATCGCCGTCGCGTCTCAATCTGTCCATCCGAGCACAGAAAAACCATGCTGCTCCGGTGCTCCCTAGTCTCTCTCTCTCTCTCTCTCTCAAAGATACGAGGACCAAGGACGAGTGGCAGCCAAGAGAGACATGATGATGGCAAGCCGCTCCTTGGTTTACATGGATGGATGGATGTCGTCAACGCAGAAACCGTCGCCTCTGCTGCGTGGCTCCAAGGTCAGAGCTTATTATTAGTATTTGCTTATATATTCGACATGTGTACATCACATTCACGGCTGCGGTTCTGATCATCTGAAGCAAGTGTGCTCCAGGAAGCCTTTTCACCACGCTCTCCAAGTCTCCATCCTCCTCCTTAGTAGCAGCAGAGGCAGCATCGCTGCAGCAAGCAGCAGCAGCACAGCCCAGCAACACTGCAACGCAAGCAGACATCATGTGTTGGATTAGACTAGACACCACAGTGCACATAACCCATGCTCATGTGACATGTTGGACATGTAAAGAAAGCGCCGGTGAGGGTGAGGCCAACGTCTTTTTATTTTGAACACAGCTATAATCCCTTCACTTCACAATCACTTGAGTCATGCTGCTCACGGTTTCAGAGATGCCCTGGAAAAAAATTGCATACCGCGGGCCGGTGTGCCGAGTTCAGTCTCCTTTCAGTTAGTTTCTTGTTTATTTACCAGACGACTGACTAACTGATTGACTGAGGCAAAACTCAAACAAGCTTTCCTTCAGCTCTCCGACATCATGAAGCTTATAAAAAAGATGCATCAAGGCATGTGGAAAGCTTAATTGAAGAATCGTAGCAGGAAGTGGAACATACATACATACCATCCTCTGAGGAAGGTGATGCAGCCGGCATCGTCCTGGTAGTAGAAAGGGCCCCCATCAGACGGAGCTCCTCGCTGCTGCGGCCATCTGCCACCGTAAGGAGGGTTCGCCGCTTCGCCGAAGTAGCCCTGGTACTGGTAGCCGTAGCCCCCCTGCGGGTTCGCTGCCGGCGGTGGCGGCGGCGGATACAACCCGGGGTAAGCGTCCGGGTACAAGCTGTGAACTGATGAAAGACACGAAAATTGGATGGTCACCTCGAAACAAAGAACAGAGAAGTTCTGTAGTTGCCCGCAAAAAGGCAAGCAGCTAGAACAGTTTGCAAGAACAAAGCACACTAGAGTGATCATAGGAGGAGCCGAGCAGAGTCTTGCCTTGCGGCGAGTACGAGTCCTTGGAGCCCTGCATGCTGTAGTCCATGATCTCTCTCTCGTCCTCTGTTTGTGTTTAGTTTTTGCAGATTCAGCCTATACAATAAGAACACAAGAAGCTAAGCCAGCCAGGGTCGGCTCTCGGTACTTGCTTGTTTGTTTGTGACCATGACTCGACTCTTCAGGCGTCCGTATCGCTAGAATTTTCCTCGTCATGGTACGTCGGCACCGCTCGTGCCTATGCATAATGTTAGAAACAGAACGGCGGTGAACACCGGCGAGATGAACACGAGCAGCGGTGAGAGAGAATGAGCGAGCAAGAACACAACGATTGCGTTTTCTGTGCTTCTATTCTCCTTTTTATTTGGAAACTTAAACAACGAGCCACATACATGATCAGCACGTTGCGGAAGTTTTAGCACGTCCATCCCCTAGCCTCCGCAAAGTCATCCATGCCGTGAACTTAGGTACGTGGGCAGCTAGTCTGCGCCACAACCTCCTACGCGCGCGGCCGCCACAGATCGGGGCTCACGCGCATGCAACTGCTAGAAACAGAAAGATGCCATGCAATCCTAACCAACCGGCACACACAAGATTACTAACACGATAGAGCTATAACCTTTTGCTTCTGAGATTGCCAGGTGACGGGGTTGTTACTGAGGAAGAAGAGGACGCCGGTGGTGCTCTTCCGCGTATCAATGTCACCCGCCTGATCGTTATCGCTGTAGCCGAGCAGACGGGCCTCCTCCTTCTTCTTCCTCTGGTACTGGCAGCCATAGCTGAGGGTCCCAGAGATGTACCTGAGGATCCTCTTGACTGCCCCCAAATGCTCGGTGGTCGGGTTTTCCATGAACCGACTCACATAGCCCACTGAATATGTCAAGTCTGGCCTTGTATTCACCAGATATCGCAGGGACCCCACAATGCTTCTGTAATGAGTAGGATCAACAACGGGGGCAGTGCTCAACTTACTGAGTTTCAGGCACGGTTCCATGGGGGTGCAGGTTGATTTGCATCCAGTCATCCCTGCCGTCTCCAGAATCTTGGCAGCGTATGCGTTCTGGCACAGGGTGATGCCCTCCTCCGATTGGGATACCTCCAGGCCGAGGTAGTAGTGGAGGCGCCCCAAGTCGCTCATCTTGAAGGTGGAGTGCATCTCTGACTTGAATGCGTCGATGTCGACTTGATTGCCGCCGGCGATGATAAGATCATCGACGTACACACCCACCACGAGGCGACGGCCCCCAGCACCACAGAGGTAGAAGGCGTGCTCGGAGGTACTCCTCTGGAACCCGAGCCTGATCAGGGACTCGTCGAGTTTGGCGTACCAGGCTCGTGGGGCTTGCCGGAGCCCGTAAAGTGCCTTGACGAGGTGGAGCACCTTGTGCTCATGGCCTCGGAGGATGAAGCCGGGGGCCTGCTCGACGTAGGCTTCTTCTTGCAGCACACCATTCAGGAACGCAGACTTGACGTCCATGTGATGGACAGCCCAGCCTTCGCACGCGGCGTGCGCGAGCAACAGCCGCACGAACTTTAGGCGTGCCACGGGAGCAAAGACTTCATCGAAATCGATCCCTTGGCGCTGAACATAGCCCTTGGCGACCAGTCGGGCCTTGTGCTTGGTGACGATCCCGGATGCATCCTTCTTGGCCTTATAGACCCACTTGAGGCCTATTGGCCAGGTGCGGGGCGGTGGCTCGACCAACTCCCACGTGCCACTCGCTTCGATGGAGGTCATCTCATCCAGCATAGCATGGCGCCAGCACTCATGGCGTAGTGCCTCCTCGAGCGAGTGGCGGTGACGCTGCTGATGGAGCAGGTGAAGCTGAGCCTGGCGCCGAGTCCGCAGCTAGAGCGCGCATCGTCACTACACTTGTGGTGGTGATCACTGTGGGCTCCAGGGGCTCGGTCTCCTTGATGACGAAGTCGCCGGGGTCGACGTCGTGTTCAGCGGACCATGCCCACTGTGCCGCTTCATCGAAGATGATGTCGCGGCTGATGTGGACGCGTCGGGTCATCGGATCGTACACGCGATATGCCTTAGAGCCGGGCTCGTACCCGACGAAGATCATGCTCCGGCTGCGGTCGTCCAGCTTATTCTGGTTCGGTGTGGTCACTTTGACGTGAGCGACACACCCGAACGTGTGGAGGTGGTACACCACCGGCGTGCTCCCGGTCCATAGCTCGTACGACGTCCTTCCCCCGATGGCCTTGCACGACGACCGGTTCAGGAGGTACACAGCCGTCACCACGGCTTCTCCCCAGAACACGTCGGGAAGGGACTTGGCCTTCAACATGCTTCGAGCCGTGCCCATGACGGTATGGTTGCAGCTCTCCATGATGCCGTTCTGTTGGGGCGTGTACGGCGCCGTGAGCTCACGCTGAACTCTGAGGTGGGCGCAGTAGTCGACGAAGTCCGCCGCGACAAACTCGCCCCCGCGATCGGTACACAGGGCGAGCAGCTTTTTCCCGGTCTTGCGTTCGACCGTGGCTTGGATGTTCTTGATGGCGGCAGCAGCGGCATCCTTGCTCGGCAATAGGGTGATCCACATATACCATGAGAAATCATCGACGAGCAAAAGAAAGTACCGATTGCCGCTGGGTGTTGCAGGCGTGATGGGACCGCAGATGTTGCCATGGAGAAGTTGCAGCGCCTCCATCGAACGTTCGAGCACCTTCTATGGGAATGGCGCCCGGCGCTGCTTGCCGGCGAGACACGCCTCGCAGACCTGCTCCACCTGGCTGAGCAGGGGCAGACCGCGGACCAGCCCCTCGCGCGCCATCTTGCGCAGCGCGGTGAAGTTGATGAGCCCGAACCGCGTGTGCCACGTCCAGGCGGCATCGTCGGAGTGCTTGTCCAGGCAAACTGGGCGTGCTATGGTGACGTCGAGCACGTACAGTCTGCCTGGACTCCGTGGGATCTTCGCAAGCAGGTGGCTCTCCTCGTCGCGTATGCGCATCACGCCTTCCTCCACGAGCACTTGGAAGCCGCCTTCGTCGAGCTGGCCAATGGAGATGATGTTGGCGGTGAGGCACGGTAGGTAGTAGACGTTGGGAAGCGACCGGTGCTCCCCGTTCTTGTAGGTGAAGAGCACGGTGCCGCTCCCTACGATCTGCGCGATGGAGCCGTCGCTGAACCTGACGGAGCCGATGACGTCGGTGTCGAGATCGGCGAAGGCAGCCTTGGACCCGGACATATGATTGGAGGCGCCGGTGTCCAAGATCCATCTCCTCGGATCCGGATCTGCATCGGAGTCAAGGGCGGCGAACACCTTGCGCTCAATGAGGTGGAGGGCAGGGAGCGCCGCCGGTGTAGAAGTTGAGTGCGGCGTTGGCGGCGGAACTGGTGACGGCGCATCGGAGGGGAACGAGGCGATGGCCATCATGAGTGCCTGCATTTTTTTCTTGGGCCACATGGGCCTGCTCCTCCCTATTTTTCTTGCAGCAGTCACGGGCCCAATGGCCTTTCTTCCCGCAGTGCTTGCAGGGCTTGTCTGGAACGGGCCGGCTCGAGTTGGAGCCGGACCTCCCTTAGCCGTTGCCGCCATTGCCGCGTCCCCGGCCTCTGCCATGGTGCCGGCCGCGATCGCCGAAGCTGGAGCCGCCGCGGCTGGACTCTTGGCCCTTCTGCTTGTACCGCTTGGCCCACTGCTCTTCGGTGAGTAGCAGTTTGCCGGCAGCGGTTTGCGGTGGTGGCGGCTCGATATCATGGGCCGCCTTCAATCTCCCTGTGACCTCCTCAATTGAAAGCTGAGAAATGTCGAGAAGGGTCTCAATGGAGATTACCAACTGCTTGTAGCGTGGGCGGACGACGCGCAGGTACTTGGCCACCACCTTCTCGTCGGGTTCCGGGTCACCCAGCGTCGCCAGGCACTGCACGATGCCCGTCATGCGCAGAGCGAAATCCTCGATGGGTTCTCCGTCGCGAAGGGCGATGGACTCGTACTCCGCCCGGAGGTTTTGTGCAGTCGCCTTCTGCACCTGATCATCGCCGATGTGGAAGGTCTTGATGGCCTCCCAGGCCTCCTTCGTAGACGCCTTGGCCACCAGGATGGGGACCATCTCCGCTTGAACGCCGCTGCAGATCGCGTCGAGCGCGCTGCGATCGTCGTCATAGTCCACGTCGTCATACTCGACGGCGTCCCACAGGTGGCGCGCCTGCATTTTCAGCTGCATGCGAAGCGACCACTCATGGTAGTTCGTCTTCGTCAACTGTGGCCAGTTGCTGGAGCTGCCTTCCTGGATGATTCGCTCGACGACGACTTCCCGCGGACGGCGTGCGCCGCAGGTGCGCGAACGGCGTGCGTCGCGCGTGCGTCGCGCGTGCGTGAATGGCGAGTAGGGGAACGGGTCGGCGAAGGCGTGCGCTGCGGTGTCTTGACGCCTGAGCCGCTGGAACCATCGTTCTTCTTGGGGTCGTCCTTCTTCCCGGCTGGTGAACGGCCACGAGGTCTCGTTGGAGACACCATGGCGACGACGGGATTCCTCGCAACCTAGCTCTGATACCACTTGTTAGAAACAGAACAGCGGTGAACACCGGCGAGATGAACACGAGCAGCGGCGAGAGAGAATGAGCGAGCAAGAACACAACGATTTTGGTGCTGCCTGAAAGCGCAACGTTTTCTGTGCTTCTATTCTCCTTTTTATTTGAAAACTTAAACAACTATGAGCCACATACATGATCAACACGTTGCGGGAGTTTTGGCACATCCATCCCCATGCCTCCGCAAAGTCATCCATGCCGTGAACTCAGGTACGTGGGCAGCTAGTCTGCGCCACAACCTCCTACGCGCGCGGCCGCCACAGATCGGGGCTCACGCGCATGCAACTGCTAGAAACAGAAAGATGCCACGCAATCCTAACTAACCGGCACACACTAGATTACTAACACGAAATCCGCCGAAATCAAAGGGATGCAAGCGGGCTATTCTATCTATACAGACAACAAGACCTCTCCTCTCTACTCTACAGCGCATGCAACAGAACCTATTGCATGTTAAATTCACGTGTTTCAAACAGATTTTTAATCAAGAAACTGGCATTGCTTGAGTAGGCATCAGGAATGTGCTTAAAATCAGGTACGAAGTCGCACTGCGCAGGTTTAACTCATGCGGCTGTTGGTTTGTTTAGCGGTATCCCCTTCATCACAATTGCTTACATATTTGACCTAAACGGTTTCAATGCATATATTTGACCGCTAGTTTTCTTTCAGAATGTGCTTAAAATCATTCAAATATAAGGAATTTTGCAAATATTTTGAATACAGATCTACATATACAAATGACATGTTTTCGAACTAAACAATGTAATAGTTACAGATTTTTGAAGTTTTAATGTTGGACCAAAATTTCTTTGTATGTTTGATTGTATTCACCTGTTCAAGTGCATTTCTTAAAACACAAAACATTTGATATATGTACAAATAAAACACTTTATGTTTCCAAACCAAATAATGTAGTAGTTATTGACGTTTGTATTTTTTATGTTCGATGAAATTTTCTTTGTGTTTGATTGAATTCGCCTGTTCAGGTGCATTTTTTAATCTAAATCTAAAAAAAAGACATTTGATTAACCGATGGGCACTATTTTCTTAACTGAACCGGGTTTCAACTTAATCCATACAAACTCGTGGTTACAATGATGATTGGAAACAATCACGGCCACGAAAAACGTGGGAAATATACACACAGCCTTTTTGCATCTAGCCGCCCATGCTGCTACAGAAAGCCTAAGCATCCAAAACGCTCTCATATACTTATTCCATCGCCTACAAAATTAAAACAAGACTGCTCGTCCTCATCTGTGCACTGTGCGCTTTCCATCCAGCGTCAGACTGTTAAGCAGCGTCATCTCTCTGTGTCCACCTTCTCTGGCTGATTCGCTTGGCTTGTGTCAGAGTCACTCACAGCAAGAGCCGGAGGAGCAGGAGCAGCAGGACCATCGGTTCCTCCTGATGTAGGAGCGTCCTCACTTGGAGTAGTGGAAGCTGCTTCTGAAACATCACAATGTGCAGCAAATTTAGCTTGTGAATGTGTCTTTTATTCTCCAGATTGGAAATTAACCCGGGGAAACACAAACTAGGAGCCTTTGCAAATTCAGGTATTGTAAATACTAAATAGTTCAAGAAATTGCAACTTGCAAGACTAGAAATGCCAGACCTTGCTGTTGCGACGTGGCAGGCTGTGGCGGATTCCAAGCAGCAGCAGCTGATGCAGCAATTTGTTCTTCAGTTACTTTCATGAGTTCCTCGCTAGTGTAAGGTGCAGGCTCAGGCTTGACATCTGAATGCAGGATGGATAGTAATAAGGCACTAGCATAGTGATAGCAATATAGAAATCAATGACTTCAGAGACTGGTGCAAGCCCATCTTCTGAGCTCTGAGCTAAAGGCTAGAAAGGATTTTTTTTTTCAGTTTGAAGCACATGCTTTTTAAAACAAATTAGAGAGAACACAATCACAGGCCATGGGTGTTAAGCTCACATGGAAGAATTTATACTTCATTAATATCAGGGAAAACGCCAAATAATCATCTGGTTGACTGTATATCATCTTCCAGATGTTAATGGCTTCTGATAATTGTTCATACATAACAAATACTTCTGTCTGTTTGTTAGTATATAACACATTGTAATGAGAAAGGAAGAACCATAACTGAGCCAGATAATGTGCATGCAAACAGAGGTTTGCCAACAATAACTGCTAGGAATGAAAACAGAGCATGTGCATCTATGGGTATCTGTGGTGTTTGACTGAAAGACATGATTATCAAATGTGGACTTCAGGAAAAGTTCCTTTTTACTGAAGTGGGCATGATAACATTGGAAAGAAATTCAGAAGTAGTCAAATCAACTAACTTGGGTCGGCAGCAGGTTGTTGGTTGTTATTCATGGTTGTGGGCCTATAATTCGTCGATTGGGAAACCTCATCAATTCCGATTTCTCGTTCAAGAGTGCTCCTGAACTCCCTTGATACATCCTAAGAGCAGCGAATCATATTACATTACGGAACAAGATCCTCAAACATATTGCAACAACAAATCAAGGACCAACCTGTATCTCTCTAATGGTTGGTTGGAAAGCACGCAAAGTCTTCCCCAAATTCCTGGCTACCTAGAAACAAGATAGCAAATGAGGCCAAGACCCTTATGTTAGCAGTGCATCTAAAACGTATATGTCTTTTTAAAAGCTAGCTCAAGATCATAGGTTTGTAGAGAACATATGCTGATATGGAAATGATTGTCAAGCACAGAAGCAGAGAGGGAAAAACGTTTAAAAGTAAATTTGGAAAAAGTTAGAGAACAGAATGATTTTTTACTTTGGTTGTTGGCAGATAAAGGAGTCTTAAATTTAACTTGAGGTGAACCTTTACGCGCACATGTGCTACAATATATTTTTCCTAAACTATTTAAAATGGCCAGTTTTCGATGACAATGATGCTGAGAATTCAAAGAAGGATTACACAGCAAAACTCTAAAATATAGAAATGGGATAGTGTTTGAAGTCATGATAACAGTTCCATAGTTCCAACAAAGTTCACAATTAAAGCCTATCAGGGAGGAATTTAATAGCTTACTGCCTTAGACTGTCAGCTAAGTATCACATTAAAATCAGACATAAGGTTAAACATGTAATTTCCTGCACCCAACAAAAGAACAGAGTGATAGGGGAAATTCTTTTGGTTAACCTGAAGCTTATTCTGTAAAACTAAAAGTTGATTAACAATGACACAGTTCCAGAGGCAGATGAAAGTGTAAACAGCTCTCAGTTATCAAGGGCATCCTCTCATTAATAATAACTCAACGATTTACACCACCCTAGTGTCCTGAACTGAGAGTTGGCCTAAGGAAAAATTATGCACTGGGATGAATCTGAATGGACAAAGGTCAACAGTGAGCTAAAGAAGGGATGGTCCTAACATAATACTAATCAAGTTAAATTTTTTTAACGATTTTGGGTGCATATTTTATTCTTAATAAAATGCCACCTAGCTCCTCCTAAGTTGGTCTATTTTTTTTTAAACTTGATTTTTTTTTTGGGTTGAAATTCTATAGCTAGGTCAATCTTGTCGGTCAGTGGTCAATATTTCTCAATTGCTAGCACCACTCAAGCACATTAACGAGTAAATAGCCCCAATAAGGCAACAACAGAAAGCTAACCAGGCTTGTAGACGCAGATAATTTACCTCTGCCAGACCCTTGGGGCCGAACACCAACAAGGCGACTACTCCAATGACCAGTGCTTCGGGAGCTCCAACTCCAAACAGGGAAGCACATATAACGTTTCTGCGGCGTGTTCTGCTCCCTACAGTTAGACGCCACAGAAAGACAAAATCAGCGTGCCACTCCCTCAAGAGCACGAAAGTGAGAAAGATTTGAATTTGATTCCGCATATCAAAGAACCCCCAAGAACAGGGCACTCAGAGCAATCTATTCCACGGGTAGTAGGTTTCGCCCATACCAACGAAAGAAGAGACCATCCGGGTCTGTACGGAGCCCCACTCCACGCCTCTCCAGCAGAGTCGAGGCCGGTGGCGGCCGCGCAGGGGGAGCTGGAGGTGGCGCACATCGGAGATGGAGACGAATGGGGGAGCCGGGAGGAGGCGGCTCGCCATCGGCGTCATTCGATTGGGGTTCACAGGTTGGAGAGTTGGAGATAGGATTTGCTAGAGCAAGCGCAGGGTGCTCTTAGCCCAGCTGATTGGTACAATCTGAACCGTCTGATCCGGATCCGACCGCCTAGATGGAGTACAGCCACTGACTGACTTTACTGAAGTCTGCAGCTGGTCCTGTTTTCAGCAACCGGCTGACACTTGGCTGGCCATTTTTATAGCGCACAAAACGTCACGTGTTGGCTTGTTGCTCCTCCAATGCTTAGTTGTCATTTCTTAAACAATTTTCTTTGTTTGTTCATGAATATTTGTCTCTTTGGTTTCCTCAGAGAAGACATTTTTATTTTGTCCTTCTAACAGTTCAAATCACCCTCCCTCTCCATTCAGTGGACTGCTGGCGAATTATTCCATGCATCTTGCCTGTGTGTCCACGTAAACAAGAAATGCAAGAATCTCCTGTGAGAGACATTATCACGTGTCTACGAGAAAACTTATGAGAGCTATTTTTACCGCGTGTTCAATACAAGCATTAGACTAACTATCAATGCCATGTTCGTTTGATGTTAAGCTACGGTTGAAAGTAATGTTGACTGATTTGATATGAGAGAAAATATTGTTTGTTGATTGAAAAGTACGGCTTATAAGCCAAGTGAACATGACCCAAAATAGTAGCAAGTAATCAGAGCCATCTGAAAATGTTATCAATTGTTTAGGACACACAACCCACGTACAACTCGATGTCTGTACGACTAAATAGACATGTATAGTGTGATGTCTGTATGATTGTTTGCTATTTGTTCGATGCTTGTATGTAGCTGATCGTCGTTTGGATTATAAGTCGTACTTTTTCAGCCAACAAATAATATTTTTCTCTCACAACAAATTAGTTAATAGTACTTTCAGTCATGACTTATCAGTCAAACGAATGGGGCATATATCTAGTGTGAATATTAATATTCATGTATACCTGTTGGGTAAAATAATTACGCAAACATCAAAGTTTGAACATAAGTCAAAGTTGTATTCATTTCATCGTCGTACTGTACATGTCAGAGGGGGTATTTATAGAGGTCCTAGTTTTCGTAATCCATGTACAAATGCCCATTTTACCCCTTTCTAAAATCAATACAACACTTTTCAACTAGAAGGGCGAAGTGGTTCTTTTCCACTACTCTAGTCTTCTTCCTTCAATTTGCTTGTCAATCTTTTCAGGAGACTTCAACTTTTGTCTTAGCTGTTTCTTGCTTTGCTCTTCTTTGTCTTCGCCTGTAAGCGAAGCTGATTTCTTGTCGGCAAAGCCAAACTTTTGTCTTCCCTTAATCCAGCTCTGATCTTTCTCTTTCTTCTAGCGAAGTCGAGTTCTTCTAGGCGAAGTCGAATCTTTATCTTCGCTCAGCTTTTTCACCCTGCAGGCAACCTTTGATACAAAAATTACAAATTCAACTCTAAAGTTTAGGGGCTGAGTTTTATGGCGAAGTCAAATCCCCAATAAAACCATTGTAGTGTTTATTGGTACAAAACAGATGAAGCTAAAAAAAAGATGATTATGGTTACAATATTTTCTTAGAACCATCAATAAATCAAACAAAACATAATACGATCACACCATTTTAGTCTAGTTTTCTTTGATTCCATAGCGGTGTCATATATGCTTGACTAAATTCTTCTTAAGATGCCTATGTGTTGCATGAGCTTTGATAGCGGAATTCCTCTGAATCACCTCTGCAAAACATGGATTAAGGTAATCTCGCTTGTACACACTTTCGGTAGAAGCACAATCTAGCGGCAAACTTCCTCCGCTGGTGTCAGGCAGTGGTATATTCACAAGGGTACTAAGAGAAGGTGCACCAATCAAATGAAAAAAAAATATTTGGCTTGTTCCCAAAGTAACTCATGAATCCACTAGTTGGATATGGGTTTATCCCTACAAAAGGCATTTAGTTTTCAGAAAAAAGTATTTAGGATGAGAACCAAGTGCCATTCATCTTAGTATTTAATATTCAGTGATTAGATTTCTAATTTATAATACCAAGTACAAATTAAACAACCACAAAGTAGTAGGTACATATATGAATTTTCACCCCATTCACAATGGAACAATGATAGGAAAAATAGGTACATATATGAATTTTTACAATACTTGCAGTAAAAAAGAACATTCAGAAAAATGCTTCATGTTTGGAATGTGACTTTTCTACATTGCACACACATGAAACAAACTGAACACACCTGAATATTCAGTCATGCAATTCATATAAATAAGCCAGGGAGAACTGCAAGTTGTACATATAGAGGTCTAATATGTAATAAAGGAATCCACAATGTTGTACATACAGAGGTCTAATATGTAATAAAGGAATCCACAATCTTAACCATACAAATGCTTCATGTTTGGAATATGGTTGCACTAATTTCTTTGTTACTATTATGTCGGAGTCGCTCTACAAATCGATTTAATACTAGATTGTATTTTTACATTATTATTATTATAACGTTGCTGATCGATTGCATTTTTACATGGTTAGACTTGCTGATTTCCATTGATACTTGATAATTTCCATTTCCATGAACACTTAGATACCTTATTAACCATAAAAAAGCTAACTGATTCTAGCTTAGTTGGTTAGGTTCCTTGTGGTGGAACCTGCCTACCTGAGTTCAAGTCCTCGACTTATCATGGATGCTCGTATTTTTCTGGATTTATTTCAGGATTTAACGGCGTTGTGCTTTCAGTGGTAGCAGACGTTCCCATCGACAACGATGTGCTTGTGGTGACTTCGTCAATCTCGAGATGTGACGGCACAATCTTTCGGAGGTGCTCATAGGGGTAGGGTTTGCGTGCGTGTGTTCATAGGGGTAAGTGTGCGTGCGTGTTGTGAGTGTCTGTGTCTGTACATATGTAATTCATAAAAAAAGTTTGCAACACCGATATGTTCTCATGATTTCTATCTTAATTTAGTTTTACATGGTTACAAACTTGCTGATTGTATTTTTACATGAGCCTTGCTGATTTTATACATGCTTCCCTATGGTATTTTTTTAAGATGACTACAATGCAAGAACGCAACTTCATGAGAATTCAAAAGAATTGGATGGCAATGATGATAATGCAGTTGATATCAACGACAATTGATGTAATGAATGGGAGTAAAATTAATCTAAACATGGTACCCTCATTCTTTTGGATTCTTTTGATCCAAACTAATGGATGCTAGGCATATTTTGCTAACCAACAACCCTTGGTGTTGTACTAAGTAAAGTTTAGAGTTATGTAGGCAGTGGCGGAACTAGCACCTTTGATTAAGGGGGGCCGGACAAATAATAAGATGTCATCTTTAAGCATGATAAACATATACATAATTGTATGTCTCAACAACCTTTTCAGTGTTTTCACATATGTAGTTAGTATTTGTAACAAAAAATCACAACATATGATAAAAAAATGGATGATTTTTTTGCATTTTTGTGCTGTAAATTAAAACATTTATAGGGATAGATATAAAAATCTAATGTGCTGGGGGGCACGGCCCCTGCTGGCCCCCTGGTTCCGCCACTGTATGTAGGTGCCGGGGCTTATATTAGTTAGCTATGACTATAAAATATTATTGCCTTTTAGTGTAATGGTTGAACACTTTGTAATATGTCTGGGGTGCAATTGTTAGACACTTTCTAATATGTTTGGATTAGAATAAGTTGAATATATGCAAGTATTGGGATCTAATTGTATTTGTGCTAGAGTGCAATTTAGCAAAATTTTTCTGGTGGTGTGCAACTCCCATGAAAAAGTGTTTCTTTTGCAGTGTTAGGGAATTTTTATGGCGGTGTATCACTCTCAAGAAAATGTATTTTGTTGTATATGCAATTTTCATGGTGATGTGCAACTCTCATGAGAATGTATTTCTGTAGCAGCGAAGCTAGAGCAAATTAGAGGGTGGTGCATTTGTCTTATAGGTGTGAGAATTTAAGCTAAAAACATGGTGAAAATTTGATTTTAGTATTGATTTTTCAAATTTTTGTGGGTGCATGTGCACTCACAAGCTACAATGTAGCTTCACCACTGTGTAGGTGCTACTAATTTTCATGGCGATGACTAACTCTCATGAAAATGTATTTCTTCATGGCGCACGGTGGCCTCCATGAAATAACGCCACGACTATGCATATAGGAACCACTACCGGAAACAATAGATTTGCCGAGTGCCAAAAGATTTGCCAAGTGCATTTCATCGGGCACTCGGCAAAAAAAGCTGTTTGCCGAGTGTCGGTGTTTCGAGTAAACACCAACGAGTAAATTTATATTATTGTGCATCTGGCTCGAATGGTGTGCTAAGAGGACACGAGGTTTATACTGGTTCGGGCGGAATGTCCGTACGTCCAGTTCGTTGTTGCTGCTCGTGTTACTAGCACTGAAAAGTTCGTAGTAGGAGGGACAGGTCCCAAGTCTCTAGTAGAAAGAACGAATGGGTACCGAGAGCTTGGTCGCTGCTCGGCTATGTGTTCGAGGTTCGACGCTAGTGGTTTTTATCTGATGTCGTGCGATGCCCCTTAATGGGACACCCTGCTTTCCCTTTTATAGGCCAAGGGAAAGTATGGGTTACAATGGGAGAAAAGAGGAGAACTAGAGGGAGAGGAAGTCTTTTAGGGTCACCAGGCCTTTCTTTTCCCTTGTGCGGGCCCCGTTGACACGGCAGGTGGTGACAGGGACAGCTCCACGTCAGGCGTCTGTCCACCGATGATGCCATGCCCTGACATTGTCAGCGGGTCGTAACGTCCCACTCCACCCCGGCGAGCGGCGCGGCGAACCAGCGTGCTGATCAGTGGCTGTACAGGGAGTGGGTAGTATAGTGACCATACGTCCGTCACTGTGGGCGATGTGAGTTCCCTGGAATGACATGTCACGGGGATGGGTCTTGTTGAGACGTGATCGCTCCCTGCACAATGCTAGAAGTTTGACCTTGGGAGACTTTCTGGCCCATAGTGGTTGGCGATGGCGTGAGCTTCCGTTAGGAGCCG